CCTCCTGCAGGACCCAGCTCACCACTGTTGGGAAATGTTCCAAAACAGCCATTTGAGAATTGGTTCACTGTGCCCGGTGTCGCTTAATCCAGAGACCTTCAGTTTCACCATCTCCAGAGGGAAAAATCATGTCTGGTTTCCTATCAGCACGGGGTGTAGGCAGTGCCTTGGCTGTGGGTGGGGTCTCTAACATTTTCTTAAACAGTTTTTCAAGGCATGTTCCCTCTTTTGACCTCTGCTTCTAAAGGCACACGGTGCTGCAATTCCCGGGCCTTTAGAGGGTTCTGTGGTCTAAATTGGACTGCTTTTTGTCTTTTTTTCACTCATGGTTAGCAATGAGTTTTCCACATCTGCTAAATCAGTTGCTATTTGTCCATGTGCTTTATACCTTCCAAAAACCTGCTGCAACTGACTCCACCCTCCTTTTCTGTATCCTCACAGCTTTCTGCCTTTTTGTTTCGCCTTTTTGTTCCTAAACCCCTCTCTGTAATGTTGATTGAGTTCCACGAACATGTGGCCAAGCTGCGCTCTTTAACTGGGAATCCCAAGTGGCCATCTGCTCTCTGCTGTCGTGTTCTCTCTCCCTGAATGTACCTGCCCTCCGCGGCTGTATATAGACTCCTCGTTGCTGTGCCGGCCACTACAGAGTACAGCTCTCTAGGCACACACAGAGATGGCTTTTAACTGATGCCTCAGCAGCCTCTGCTGACTGTGAGCCATCCCTGGGCCATCTCTAAGCTTCCTCCAGTGTCTTATTCTGAATACCGGGGCTGGCGGAAGCCCTGGGGAGGGAGAGTGGTATTCCTTCACTCTTTCCCATGTGGCAAGTTATAAAGGGCATTGAGCTACGTCCTCTGTCATGACACGTGTTTCCCATTGGGTCTGAAGAGCCCTGTTGGGACTCGGAGGTACAGTGTTAATCAGGCAAATGCAGTCCTCAGCCTGATGTTCTTTCCCCCAGGGGAAACAGAAGATGCCTGGGGTTAAGACACACAGTAAGAAGAGCCTCATACCCCTGGGCCCATTCTGACTGAAGACACCTGGATGTCAGATCTATTTCTGCACATCAGGGAGAATTGCCAAGGTCCAGCCCTGTGCTGGGCTCCTGGACTTCCCCATGCACACATCGTGCATACACTGTGCTCTACCCTGCCAGGTGTCTCAGACACAGGCAAAGAAGAACTGACTGAGGTTGGGGAGTTATTCCTTCCTTCCTACCTATGTTGTTGGAGTTATTTATATTGGTGGAGACTTTGAGACTTGATTCAAATAATCAGAACTAGCCAGGCTTGGTGGCTCATGCCTGTAATCCCAGCACTTTGGGAGGCTGAGAGGGGTGGATGTGTTGAGCCCAGGAGTTTGAGACCAGCCTGGGCAACATGACAGAACCTCATCTCTACTAAATACACAAAAATTATCCAGGTGTGGTGGTATGCACCTGTAATCCCAGCTACCCAAGAGGCTGGCACAGAGAATCACTTGAACCCAGGAGACAGAGGCTGTGGTAAGCCAAGATCATGCCACTATACTCTAGCCTGGGCAACAGAGTGAGACTTGTTCTCAAAACAGTAATAATAATAATAAATAAGTAACAGGAACTGCAGACCCCAGATTTAATTAGGTCTATTACAGAGAGAGCAGCATCCTAAAGGTCGGACCTAAGAAAGCAGAAACAGTGTGACTGTGGTCTCACACAGGAGTGGATGACCAATTTGCTCATTTCTTAAGTATGCATTGAGTTCCTTCTCTATGCAAACCCTGTGGTTAGATGCTAGGGGCTCAAGAAAAGCAAGTAGACTTGGCCCTGTACTATAGGAGATTAGAACCTATAGAAGAGCCGGGCGCGGTGGCTCACGCCTGTAATCCAGCACTTTGGGAGGC